CACCCCCTCCCCACAATCGCCGCCACCACGCCCCCACTCCCCCGCGCCTACCTCCTCCCACCCCCACCCCCCCTCTCAGCCCATACCCACCCACCCAACCCCCTCCTCCTCTCACACTCGCTCCTCCCACTCTCTCTCGCTCTCCCCCTCCAATGTAACTGTGTGAATGAACATATTTGTTGTATTCTCTTTTTATGCGCCCGTGTACTGCCCCCACTCAACTTCCGTCAACCACCCAATTGGTAGAGGAGAGAATGAAAAACAAAGCTGACATTCCCCCAAAAAACATTGTCTGGTGAACGGCGCTTATATAAATAGCAGTGGACGTAATTACTTATTATATCAGATGTCGTCTTTTTTAATAAAAACATCGGATGATTGTAACTTTGTCAGTTCCAAAAAGTCTATCGGCATTACAGTCAAAGAGATACTTGTAAGGGGTTATTTTTGAAAGCAGCAGTAGACACAACCCTGTGTGTTATTAGGAGCAACAGAAAAATGTAACTAAATAACTATCCACATTAATACAACAGTAGAGTATAAGCAGCAACTCCGGCGAATGTTTGCTGTTCGCCGCAGGAGGAGGTGACGTGTGATTGAGCGTTTTGGCATTTCATCAAATAAATGCTGCAGCTTTCAGAAATTATTTATTATTTTTGATATTTTTCTGCGTCTTTGCGGCGGCTTTGAGCGGTTTTTAGATGGCGGCGTTATCTAATGTCTCTGCGGGTTTCTGGGTCGTTTATAACATTTCACTCATCATTCTTCAAATCCATGCTCACAATCTGGTTTATGCTCCACGCTCCATTGGCTAACGTTGATTACATTGTGGTTTCCCGTTTGGATCAGGTATCAGATGAACTCCAATATGTTTATCCACTCTTGTTATAAGTCGTTAAAGCATGAACATACTGTATATCCAACTGTAAACATGTCTCCTCTCCACAAATATCAACTATCATTCAGTCTTTCCTGGAGCAGTAAAGTTTGGGGATTTTCAACAGAGCGATATGAAACATATCTATCCATAGGAGAGTCATGTTCATTGAACTATGGTTGGAAGTAACTTTCTATTTCCATGGCATTATGGGTATGTGCCTCCTCTAGAAAGTGAAAGTGAATTACTCTCCCATTAGGTTTGCCCAAACTCACAAATTGTTGAATCTGAATATGTTGCGTTCATGTGACAACACAATATCCCCAAGACCCTATAGTTTAAAATTGAGTAAAGTTTAAAAGTTGTAAAAAGTCAGACTTCTAGTCTCAGATTTTGTGTGTGGTTTTGCCCAGTAATTACAAAGTACAAAGTTCCACATCTTAGTGTCAGTACATTTCAACTACAGTATGGCTCAATTATTTCCAAGAAGCCTTGACAATAGAATAAAAAAACACATGTTGGCCAGTAAAAAGGACTTCCATAAAAATATGGCAGGTTTGTGAAACTAATCACTTATCATCATTCAATAATGATAAGTACATGTATTTAATCAACACATATTCCAATACAATACAGATGTATTTGCAACTGTCCTCAAACTGATATAGAATTCTCGAACATGACCGCCACCTATTGAATATCCTGAATCTTCTCCTTCCTCTTTAACTATGGTCAACACGGTGCAAACGTTGGAAACGTGTGTATTGGGGGCTCGTCTGTAACCTTTTGCGATAACAGCACATGCCTCCTTTCAGCCATAACCCAAAGTCTGACTCCCGGAGCCCATTATCCCACAGCTGCATCACATCTGGCTCTTATTCCAGACAAAATAGTCCAATGTGACTACTGTGCACACTTCCATGTGCTATCAATTTGTACTGGAAACACTCAAATACACGCCATAATGGCCACTCTAAAGGCAGAGCCTTTGCAAGTGTGAGAAATGGAGAAAATGGTTCTTTTCAGCAGTGATTGCTAGTAAACATTTCCCCCTACAGGAGATTATATTTCTGAAAGGGAAAAGGGTCTTTCCTTATCTTTCTTTTGAAGAAAGTAACCTTTTTGGTATTTGATTTTGCAGCAACTCACAAACGTAACAATCGTTTCTAAGTGCCTTTTCAACACATTTATCCATACAGTTTGGAGAGATGACATTTAATTCTGCAAAATATGGGTCAAACACAAGAGGCTAATTTCCCCTGTGATCTGTGAGTAAAAGCAGACATGTGGTTATGACGTTACCGGGCGGCACGGTGGCTGAGTGGATAGCACTCTCGCCTCTCAGCAAGAAGGTCCTGGGTTTGAATCCCGGTTGGACCAGGGCCTTTCTGAGTGGAGTTTGCATGTTCTCCCCATGTCTGCGTAGGTTTCCTCGGGTTTCCCCTACCACTAAAAATATGTACAATAGGTCTGGCATGTGCCTCCTGTACTGGCACGCCCACTCCCAAAAAAATCACAATTGTAAAACGCTTTGAGACTCCGATGTGCAGTGAAAAGGCGGTATATAAATAAAGATTACTTACTTACCGGTCCGGTTCATGTTCACTTCTGTCAAATGAAAAGATGGTGCAGTATCACCTCTTATCAAGAACCAGTATGTGTGTGTGTGTGTATGTGTATGAGTGTGTGTGTGTGTGTGTGTGTGTGTGTGTGTGTGTGTGTGTGTGTGTGTGTGTGTGTGGGTGTGTGTGTGTGTGTGTGTGTGTGTGTGTGTGTGTGTGTGTGTGTGTGTGTGTGTGTGTGTGTGTGTGTGTGTGTGTGTGTGTGTGTGTGTGTGTGTGTGTGCACTTGTTTTCAACTCCTGGTGGGTTCCATAACCTGAGATTCCACTCACGTCATGGGGACTGGTTTTACGTGGTGGGGCCCGAACACCGGACCCCACTGGTCCAAGCTTAATAATCAATGGGTAATGCTTTTCTAACGGTCCTTATGCAGTCTCTGTAAAAATATGGAAAGGACCCCTGGAGGTTTACTTTCCTGAAAAAAGTGTGTTATGTGTCGGAACCCTGGTGGTGGGTTGCGGGATATCAAGGAGGGGTTTTTTATTAATTTCAGTCCAGCAGGCTGGAGCCAATCATGGAGCAGCACAACAGAGGAAATCAGGAGTCAGGCTAGAAAAAGGTGCAAGTGTGTGGTTCATTAGGCTGCAAGAAATCATGGAGGAGCACACTGAAGCGCACGCTTACAAACCACTGGTGAGTGCAGACTACAAGTCATGACTTCAAATTGTTATATAGAATGATTACAAATTATTTGTTGTTTGTGCAGCTTAGTCAAGAGTCCCTAATTGATGAAGTCGACTCAGATTCTGACGATTTAACTGTCAAGAAGAAACCTGTAAAAAAGTATGGAAAAAGAAAAATCAAAAACACTTTTCTTCAAGACTCGGAAAGTGACGAACCAAAGGCAAATAAGATTGTTATCATGCAGCTGCAAAAGAAGAAAAATGGGGGGCGAGTTTACAGCAAGAGACACTTCTGCCTCTACTGTTCAATGTCCTGCCACAAAATGTCCCGTCATTTGACTAGAAAACATGGAAATGAAAGTGACGTAGCCAGAGCATTGGCTCTACCTGTGAAATCTAAAGCACGTAAACTTCAGTTTGATTTGATCAGGAATAGTGGAAACCGTGAGCACAATTTTGAGGTTTTAAAGGCCGGCATTGGAACTTTAGTCCCAGCTAAACAGCCAAATTCCCCAGTTAAATCCAGTGAGTTTTTGCACTGTATAGCCTGTGGGGCATTGCTTAAGCGAAAGTCGCTGTGGAGGCATGTGGCCAGGTGCCGGCTTTCACAGAAAGATGCCCAGGCTAAACCAGGCTAAACCAGGTAGAAGTAGGGTCCAGTCCCTCTGCTCCCTAGCCCAGCCTGTACCGGAGGGCATCAGCAAAAAGCTGTGGTCTTTAATTTCGGCAATGCATCAGGATGAGGTCACGGGTGTTGTCAAAGCAGAAAAGGGGATTCTGAGACTCGGAGAGCACCTGTACTTAAAACACGGGCATGATAAGACTAAGCATGATTACATTAGGCAGAAAATGAGAGAAGTCGGTAGGTTAATTAACGAAGCAAAAACCGCAGGGAAACTGAAAACAATTAAGGATTTCTTTATTCCTTCCAACTTTAACCATGTGATTGATGCAGTCAGGTCTGTGGCTGGATATGATGAGGAAACAAATCAATACAAGACTCCATCCTTGGCCCTCAAACTCGGCCATAGCCTCAGAAAGCTAGCAGATATTCTTGAATGTGACTCAAAAATGGAGCATTGTGTTGATGAACTATTTATTAAAAACCTCCAACGAAGCCGGCTGCTTTTTGAGAAGAGGTGGGACGTCTGTGTTTCTTCTGCTGCCCTACAGACCCTCCGGCAAGCCAAGTGGAACACTCCGGACCTGCTCCCTCTGACTGAGGACGTTAGAGCCATGCATGCACATATTGAGGTATGTCGACCTGAATATGTGCAAACCCTAATAAGTGAGCCAACGTCTAAGCATTGGTCTAAACTGGCAGTTTTGACTCTTTGTGAGGTCATCATTTTCAATCGAAGAAGGGAAGGTGAGGTTTCAAAGATGCCACTGACAGCCTTTACCTTAAGAAGTAAGACTGGGATCCATTCTGACATTGCTCTGGGACTGTCCCAACTTGAGAAAAAGCTGTGTCAGCATTTTCAACGCATTGAAATTAAAGGGAAAAGAAGTCGGAAAGTGCCGGTTCTTTTGACTCCTGAAATGATTGCTTCGATGGAGGTGCTGGTGGAGAACAGAAGGGCCTGTTCCATCTCTGACCATAACCCATACTTCTTTTCCCGCCCGGGCGCAGACACCCACATCAGGGGATCAGACTCCCTACGCCAGGTAGCCAAAGAATGTGGTGCGGTGCATCCAGAGATGCTATCCTCAACCAAACTTAGAAAGCACATAGCTACTATGTCTACAGTTCTCAATATGAAAGAGAATGAGATGGACATACTTGCCAACTTCCTCGGCCATGACATTCGCATCCACAGGCAATATTACAGACTACCAGAGGGGACACTGGAGCTGGCCAAAATCAGCAAAGTGTTGATGGCCATGGAGCAGGGAAGAGTGACGGAATTCGAAGGAAAGAGCCTCGACCAGATACAAATTGAGCCTGAAGGTAATTCTTGATATTATTAAAATATGTATGATTTTTTTCCCCTAAAGGCCACTTGTATTATTATTTTCTGTGCGACAGGGAGAGCAGTAGAGATCCTCTCACAAACGGACGGGCTAAAAGAAACTTCAAGCGGAGAACCTTCAACCATTCATCCAGATGCACCCCATGGTAGTGGCAGTGCCCCTTCTGGTAAGTGTACCAGGTGGGGGATTACAGCCAGGCTGCTTGGTCCTAACCCTGGGAGTGTATATTGCTAATATATTTTTATTTCTCTCCCTAGAACGTGTAAGAAAGCCATGGTCTGCATCTGAGGTGAAGGCTGTGGAGAAGACCATGACACCTTTCATACAGACTGGAAAGGTCCCTGGGAAGTCTCACTGCCTGGCCTGCATTAATGCCTCACCAGATGACCTTAGACATCGGACATGGAGTGGCATTAAATTCTATGTCAAAAATAGAATCACTGCAATTCGAAAACAAAATCTAAAATAAAATTCCTTTAAAATAGTTGTTTGGTTTCTATTGACTGTTTTGTATTACTTAAAGTAGTCCCAGTAAAAAAAGATTATGTCTATGGGTCCCATTCTGAACGGCCCTGTCAAAGGGACCCACCAGGTAACAAAAACGTGTATGTGTGTGTGTGTGTGTGTGTGTGTGTGTGTGTGTGTGTGTGTGTGTGTGTGCGCGCGCTCGAGTTGAAAAGAAGAAACAAGAGTCTGTCTAAGGTGATGTTTACACGAGAACGCTACAACAGTAAAACATTGGAGTTGGGTATCGGATTGGCCTTTCGTTTACATGATGACGGTGTTTCAGGTGAATTCAAGTGAAAAGGCAAGTGTTGAGAAACAGCCTCCAGAGCCGGGGGTTCTTTCACAGCTGTGTGAAGAAAAAGGATTCTCTGCCTGCTATGACCTCACCACTTCCCCGCTCGTTTATTTGGACATAAAGCCGAGAACAAAGGTAAACAACAATGGCGGCGAGTGCACTAACTATCTATGTGTGCTTCAAGTGCTGAGGGTTGCTTGTGTTGTAAAGTTCAACTGCCCCCTACTGACCGGGCGCTAGAACTACATCGTTTTCCGTCGTCGTCGTGTAGACGCTGTGCACTTTTAATAAGGAGCCTGGTTGTTTTTACTAATTGCAATGCAGCGTTTCAGCAGGTCTCTGTGGCGTCTCCGTCTGAACGGGACCCAAATTAGTAATCACAAACTTGAAGCAGGGAACTCAGCACTCATTGTCTTTTGAACTCAGTGAGTGAGTGAGTGGGCTAGAGTGTGTGTGTTAACCTCTAATAATGGCAAACCCGAGTCCGAACAGAATGTGGCTCTTTTCCTAAAATAGAAAGACAAAAAATAGAAAGATTGTGCTCAGTGGGAGTCGGGTAAAAAGACGTTATGAAACATTCTGTAATGAAGCACCTGTAATTGCTCAAACAACTACAAAGTAAAGTACAATTATTTCATTTCTTATTGCCTAGATGTACTTCCAGTCTCCCATATTTGCCCAGCTTTCTCTGACACGACATTGACAGGACAGTATTTACTACATGGTTCACCTCTGGGATGCAACCTGAATATGAGCTGGCGAGAAAGGGAGTCCTGAAGCTGTAATAACCTAAGTGCTACAAGCCTTTCCCATGCTCTAGAGAGAAGCCTGTAAATCTGTCTCACCAACATAATTCACCCAGACCTATATTTGCAATGTAACGCTTTGCCACTCGGCCCATTTTCCCTCCCGCCTTCATCATCCTGCCTATACTCCCACCCCCCTTCAAACACTGCGCCTGCAAGAACCCTGTACTCCCTGTAGTATGCACACGATGAAGAATTTTAGATACGCTGGAATACGTCTGAATTTAAGTTTAGTGGAGTTAAACCATGAAGGGAGAGAATAAATGTCAAGGTTTTAAGGTTCCATTCCAGGGTAGGATCTGCAAATGTATGTATATGTCTGTTTTATGGTAAGCTGAGAGCCATCAAAGAGCAACATCCAGAAAAGATTGTCTCTAAATCTAATTCATAGTTTAACATCAGCCATTGCATTTAAGGCAAGGCAGGTTTATTGGTATAGCACAGTTAAGATAAGAAAAGAGTTCCTTTATTTGTCCCACAGTGGGGAAATTTCGATGTTGCAGCGCACAGACAGGACAGTAGTAAGAGCACACAGGGAGCACACACAATATATACAAAATAAGTAGTATCTATGTTTCTTAACTAACATAACTGGCTGTAGATGCTGAAAATGCTTCAATACCAGTCAAAAATATATACATGTAGTAGTGCAGAGTTCTATACTGTAGAACTCTGCACTACTGTTCAGTGGATATTCTGAAGTTGCAGTATTGCACACTGCACATGATTTAAGAATGTACTTATTTACAGATGAATGAAATCCTTCATCAGTTCATGCACGAGGCAACGCAAAGTGCTTGACTTAACATGATAGAAACAATGACACAAGGCATTCAAATCATAAAGATAAACAGAGCATTAAAAAAGAGTGAAGATTCCATCCTTCAGAATGCATAACTGTCACACATTTTGAGGAAGACTGTTACAGATTTTAGCCACATAAATCTAAGATGCTGCCTCACAAATAGCCTGGCCTTAGCCATCCGTACACTCATTTCACTGCATGTAACGTCTGGGTCTGGTCCCTGTGTTAGCGATTACAATTGGTTGAATTTTGACCGACCAATCAGAGAGCGCGGAAGGCAGGTTTTGTTGACGTCAGGAGTTTGCGTCGAACGGGCAGGTCGTAGTTTGGCAATGGCGAAAAATGCGATAGTAAAGTAATCTGGTCTGGTTCTATCAAGAAATTGAAGCCGGAGCAAGAGGAATGTTTAGCAAATGTAATCGCTCGAAAAATTGTGGCGCTACTCCCCACGGGCTCCGTTAGTGGCAAAGGAGATGGCTAGGCTAAATGCTAAATGCTAACGACAGACTCGGGCGTGTAAACTCAGATCCAATCGTTTCAATCTGCAAAAGGAGTTAACCCCCCCACCTGTTCACAGATCTCAATGGAGCACCTCCAGACCTTAGTACTAAATGTCATTTGTACTGTGGTGTGGTACGACCAGGCTACATCACCATGTTCATCCTGACTATTCCGAGTTGGTTCATATGGCATGAGTCAAGAATGTACTTGTGCGAGGCCATGGAGAGACTTGTACACAAGCAGAGCTGCTTTACATGGGAGGGAAGAAAGGCTGATGAATGGCCAATAGTCCAATTGTAAGTAAGTAAGTAGTAAGTAATCATTCTTTATATAGCAGCTTTCACAGACCATTTCCTCTCACTCCGTTCAGAGATGAGAGCGAGTCTACATGTGACAGTAAGAGTCATGTGTAAAAAGAAGTGCAAAAAGGCACAAGAGCAGAACATTTCTAAAGGTTGTAATCTTAAAGTAAACATCCAGGAAAACCAAAGTTGGAGGAACCAGCACCTGTCCGAGAAAGTAACTCCAGCAATGACACTGAAATCTATGTATTTTAGTCAAGTTCTATTGTACTCTTTTTGGGAAATGGACTGATGAAAATACAGGCACATCTTTTGGGTGTCGCTGTCATATTTACCAAAATTGTGTAAAAACAGGTGGTTAATGTGTGTGTTGAAAATCTGCAACTATAGATTATTTTGATAATCAATTTACCGAGCTGCTGTTTAGAGAGCAGAAATGATATGTTGTGTAATTTTCAGTACGATGAAGCTGAAGTGAAGTCACTGGAGGACATTTAAACAGGGTGTTTTCAAAATCACACAACTCCTGGCTATTTTTAATGACATTACAAGTCTAAAAATCGCGGGTTCCTAACATACAGTATTTGAGTCTGTGTATACAGCAGATAACAATTAATCAATAACTGAAATTGTTGACTATTAAAATAATTGTGTTAGCTTTGGTTGACACAACTTCTTGCATCTACTTCAAAGAAATGAATGGAACTTTTTTTTTTCATAAATCTCTAAAGAAGTACAGTCCGATACCACAGTCCATTGATTTGAAGTGAACCTTAGCAAATCCTACTGTAACAGGCCTGAAAGAGTTTAGATCATACCAGGACCAAAACAAGTCATCTTAGAAACCTCAGGACCAGTCCAGTCACATGGTCCACTTCCCCCTTTGCTCTATTTCTGTCCTTCTTCCTCCGGACGTCTCGCTCGGCCTTTTCCTGCCCTCCATTTGCGTCCCAGGCTTCTCGTCACATCTCCTCCCTCTCCTGCTCCTCCTCTGGGGTCTCGTTCTAATTCAGCTCTCATCCTCATGCAGACCTACTTTGGATCTCCCCTCTGCACGATTTAGGGACCAGAAACTATAGACACAGCTGCTGACTCTGGAAAACCATCGCTCAAGGTTGTCCAGGGTGAGAAAGTGATACAACTGTTTTGACAGGATTTAGAGAGATGTTCTTTCCAGGAACACATTTTCAACCATGAGAGAAGTTTGTTTCCTTACTTGATGGATGGATAGATGTTTGTACTGAAGTTTGCGACATTAAAGGAGCTATACCCGTTTCCGCAAGGTTTGAATGTTTAGCCCCGCCCCCAACTCGCTCACAGGCTTCTCATTTCCCCTACGCTCTCATCCCACGGAGCCATCTAGTTGTATACAAATTTGCGATCGAATGCTAACATTAGCATTAGTGCAACTTAAGCTGTACAACAATCACTGATGAAATGGTACAAAAGCAACGCACTGCTAACAAAATATATAACTGAAAGATTACCGCTAGTTCTGCGTCCGAATGTGGTCCCAGCGTAGATAGTCCGAGCGTAGATAGTCCGAGCATAGATAGTCCGAGCATAGATAGTCCGAGCATAGATAGTCCGAGGCGGTCCCGCAGGTCTCTCCCATAGACAAGTCTCTCCAGAGGATACGATGTAAGCTAGCTATGTTCACCCGGGCTTGATTTCTTCTTTGATCATTTTTTCGCTTTAGTTCCCTCTTCTCTTCCTCACTGTTGTGTCGTTACAGCCAGAGGAGTTATAGCCACTTATACTAACATGCTACTGTGTTTAGCAGCGCTGTAGAGGCTAGAGGACGCAGCCTCGTTCTGTGATTGGAGGAGAGCGGGCGTCACGCTAAGTCTCTACTCAGCACTTTTTACAGCCTGAATTCATATCAATGAGCTCAAGTTTTTAATTAAATTACGGATTATAATACAACTCGTATGTAGCAATAAGCATTATGAACTCATTCAACAACAAAAATCAGGTATAGCATCTTTAACTTGAATGACTTTAAATGAGAAAGTGTTGAGTTTTGGGCTCTTTTAGGCTTATGTAGTGCAGATGTTCAGATTTGTTAAGCTTTTATCCCTTTTCACAATGACTTAGAAACGGGAGAGTATCCAATAAAACTTTTTCACACTTGAGACATATTTTGGATTTTAAAAACAAATTTCCAAACCCATGTCTGAAGCTGCCAAAAAACACTTTGTTGAGTTGACAATAGTCACAGTAACCTGCACGAGGAGCGGGTGTCTTGGCCACGAGGCATCATTAGTGTCAAGTAACTTATTAAATATCTTATCAAGTAAATATCATGAACGTTCTCAAAACAAAAACATTAAACAATATTATAAAATCATGTAACTCATTCCTTGACTCTAGTTTTCATATTTTTTTGAGAAAGTGAAAAAGAGAGGACCATGCACTCAGCCAACCAACTCTCAGCCCAATGCATCAAATAGTGACTCTCAAGGCTCCTTCTTACAAGTACGCTACAGATAACACAGAATGTTTTTGTCTGATGTGTGCACAACATACAAGATTCTGTCTGTTGGAACAAAAAATCCTGTGTCACAATATTCCTGTGTGGATAGACCAGGCATATCCAAACTAAGGCCCACGGGCCAGTTGTGGCCCTCCAAGTCATTTTATGTGGCCCTCAGCCATGCAAACCCAAAGTATTCTTTGAGATCATAAACAAAATGTCAGCGTCATCCAGCCAATATCGGCATGGTTCACCTTGTTGAGGCCCCGTCCACACTAGCCGGTTATCTGCTAAACCACAGATATTTGTCTTTGTTTGCACCTGTTATCCACACGACAACGCATCATAAACGAATACATAAAAAAACTCTGGGCAAAGTGGAGATTTTTAAAAACTCAGTTTATGCATTTGTGTGTAGACAGAGATAACCGGAGTTTTGCGTTTTTGCACGCCACAGTCTGCCCCCAAAACAACAACAAACAACACGTGCGACCTCTGATCACTGAAGAAGCATGGATCTTACTGCCTTTAAAACTGTTCGCTGCTGCGAGCGGTTCACAGCAGAGAACATCCTCCACATCAGAGAGCAGCAAAGTGATCACTGGGACTCACACTCGAAAACAACCAAAGCACCAGGGCTAAACCAGGGCTGAGGACGGGGTCAGTGCTTGTAAACATATGTCTTTACCCTGAGTTTCTTATGACTGTGGGCGGCACGGTGGCTGAGTGGATAGCACTCTCGCCTCTCAGCAAGAAGGTCCTGGGTTCGAATCCCGGTCGGACCAGGGCCTTTCTGAGTGGAGTTTGCATGTTCTCCCCGTGTCTGCGTAGGTTTCCTCCGGGTACTCCGGTTTCCCCTACCACTAAAAATATGTCCAATAGTTCTGGCATGTGCCTCCTGTACTGGCGACCCCGCTCCCATCTCTGTGTGGAGTGAGAGACAATTGCCCAAAAATTAACAATTGTAAACCGCTTTGAGACTCAGATCTGCAGTGAAAAGGCGGTATATAAATAAACACTTACTTACTGTAAAAGTGCCGCTACAGAAGTACTGGCGTCAGCATCAAAGCTCCGCCCACTTCTGTGTTTTTCCCCAACGCAGGACGTCAGAGGACTGAAAACGCAGTTGTTCGGTTATGTGTGGATGCAAATTATTTTATAAACGGAGGGGGGGAGATATTCGGTTTTTAAAATACCTGGCTACATGTGGACATGGCCTGAAGCTCGAGATCTCTTTGGTTAACTGTACTGACATTTATTTTTGATTGTATGAATGTAATGTATCTGGTGAGTTATCATTTTCCAGCTCTGTCAAATGTGAACCAATATAGACATGTCCCACCTAATTTTAAAGCACAGAAGGTTACAGTTATTGGCTCCGGGACAATTTTGCTGAACTAAAGTGGCCCTCTAACTAAACCGTTTGGACACCTCTGGGCTACACAACAACCTCACTCCAGTTCAGAAAATACTATTTTTGAAGCACAAGAACATATTTTACGTCATCTACCAAGCTGAGAACTAAACTAACTGTCGTACACATTTAGTCCAACCTCATTGAAAAGGAATAGTTAAATTCATAAGCAGTTTGATGTAGCGTAATGAGGCCCACTGTGTTACACGGCTTCCATGGCAGAGTTTTGTGGTTCTCCCAGTGCCCCCTCTGCGCCGGGCTCCTCGGGGCAGAGCACTTGAGCAGACAGCTGTTCCTCTGCTCTCAACACTTCACGTCTGGGGCCTGTGTGAAGTCTCCGCGAGCAGCCGGATCTAACAACCTCGGCTTTACTTAAACGGAAATGAGACAATTTGGGGTACTTCCACAAAACAAATCGAAAATCCAGCGACCCATGCCAAAAACAGAGAATTGAGCCGGAGAAATAAGTGACAAAACAAAGATATGGCATGGGGAAAGCACAGGGGGCTCGCCAAGCTCCAAGCACAGACGTCAAACAAATGTGATTATGCATTTTCAGTGCAGCTAAAGAATAACTTGTATTGGTCAATATGAGACATCACTTCCAAGAGCATGAAGAAGAAAACATATATACATGTTCAATACAAAATATACTGACAGAAATGTTTAAAAAAATACGAAATATTTTATGTTTATTGCATACACGTTGAGAGAGGGCATAAACGTTACAGAAAGTCTTGATTGAGTTTGTCTGGCAGATGGGAAGGCCATTTCCAGCATGGTAATTCTACACTGCTTCATCTCTGGTGGACTAAGTGGCTAAAAATGTCACCTCTTGCTAACCAGCGACATGTCCAGCTGGTCACTGGACACTGTTTTACTTTACAGCATCAAGAAAACCCTGGATGTGGCTAATTAGGCTCTGGAGGTTTGTTTGGCACCCAGATGGAGCAGTAAGTAATTCTCTCATAGATGAAAGACTTTTTCTAACTTTTGTTCGACTTTTTCTTAAGAAAATCTTAATTAGTGCAGTTGAGTCAGTGGGTGATGAGCTGAGAACTATATCCACCCTATTCAACCCCGTCCCCTTTAACCTTTGTTGGGGCGGAACTTCCCGTAAAGCAAGAACCCAATTATGTATTTTTTCTATTTATCCAGTCTGCAATTGTCACACTGACACTATACCTGGGAAATACTTCACGATGTTCAAACGGGGGTGAATTCCGAATCAGAATCAATTTATCATCAATGTATTGCCATTTGCAGGGGCGACAGTAGCTCAGTTGGTAGAGCATTGGCCTTTGAGCCTGAAGGTCGTGGGTTCGAGCCCACCTCAAGACCTACTTCACGACTCCCACTGATGACTGCTGTCGTTGTGTCCTTGGGCAAGACACTTAACCCCACTTTGCCTGAAGCCCCCACTGAAAGATCTCAGCTCCTGTGGACTCAGCACCTGCAGGAGGATCAGTGAGGGGCTGGTGCTCTGTGACTGGGTGCAGCTCTGACTGCCACCCCCCCGACCCAGAAATGGATTAAGGGGAAGAAAATGGATGGATGGATGGATGTATTGCCATTTGCAGAAAAAACTACGTTGGAATACAAACAGGAGACATTGGGGGCATTAACACCACAAGAATTCACTGACCAACCACGGAAGAATTTAGCCACCCACCAGCTGGACTTAAAAACCTGGGGGACAGGGGCGCAGGATGACATTTGCGACACCAGAAACGATGTGATCAACGACACTTTCTGCTACGTTTGAGTTATACGATCATGGCTCACAGAGACAACAGACTGACCTCTGCTTGAGGAGCAAGGATTACAAATATTCCTCATGCCCAGTAACAGGGACAGGCCTTGTACTGGTGCCCAGAGTCCGGACTAAACACGGGGAGGCAGCATTTCAATCTTCCTAAAAATGTGAGACCGGCTTTTAATCTGACAATGTTAAAATCCAGGCTGAAAACACTCTTTTTAATGCACTGTGATTATGTATTATTTTAATGGCTTGTATGATTTGAATTTCTTTTCCTGTTTTGTCCGGCAATTTGAGTTGCCTTGTGTATGAACTGTGCCATACAAATAAATGTGTCCTGCCACTAAGATAAGATAAGATAGACTTCATTGATCTGGTCACATCTGGCATGGATAGAAACACTCAAGATTGTGCAAAAGAGAGAAATGTGCAAACATGTTAAATGCAGGATATATTATGTACAATAAAAGTGGCATTCAAGAAACAGTGTTAATAGTAGTGCAGATTTTTCAGTCCTAATGCAAGTGACTTAAAGTGACTTATTGTACAGTCTGACAGCAGTGGGCATAAAGGCCCTGCTCCTTCTTACACTGAGGGTGTCTCAGTCTTCCACTGAAGGAGCTCCTCTACAGTCCTGTGCAGTGGGAGGTGTTGTCCATGGCTAGCACCTCCTGTCCCTCACCTCCTCCACAGATTCCAGGGGCCTCCTGTCCCTCACCTCCTCCACAGATTCCAGGGGCCTCCTGTCCCTCACCTCCTCCACAGATTCCAGGGGCCTCCTGTCCCTCACCTCCTCCACAGAGTCCAGGGGCCTCCTGTCCCTCACCTCCTCCACAGAGACAGAGTCCTGACCAGCTTGTTCAGTCTACTAAGCTTGGCGTTAACTTACATAAAGTGGAGAAACCATTGTATGAACTGCACAGTGTCAAAATTATATGCTGTATGTTTATTATATCTATTGTATTCTGTGTATTATGGGTGAGAGGGAGTTAAGAAAAAATAAGTGTCTGCTTCATCCAACGCCTTTTCAAAACCTTAATCGTGTGAAGATATTGGAATTTGTGTTCTGCAGGTTTGAAATGAAAAAAAATCCAACTTATATACTGCATGTGGCTTATTATGACATATTTAGTTCATGTGAAATCTCATTATTGAGCTAAAACAATGCAATAAAACAAGCCAGCCATGCACTTCCTCATTCAGTTCCACAGAATGCCTTTGCGGAGCCTTTGATGTTTCACTGACGTCGCGTTGAGGGGCACTAAACACAACATCAGTTAAACATGTTCACATCAAAGGCTCTGTTCCAGCGCAGATCAAGTGGCCATGCAAAGAGATTTATCTCCTTCGAGCAAAAATGGCTGCGCACGGAAGGTGAATCCTCCACGTATAACAGGAAAGAAAAACAAAAAGTAAGTCAAACCCTGGGGGACGGGCAAGGTGGTGCGTTAGAGGAGTGATGGGGGCAACTGAACTCAACAACTCATTTATGCATTGTGATAAAGACAGATTTGAGTGTGTAATCATACAAGATAAAACTACAATAACACGTCACGTACTATGCCTGAAACTTTTTTCTGTTAAGACTGGACCAAAAAAACTCTCCAACCTTTCACACTGCCTGTTACGAGCTAAAGTACCGCCGTAACAATGCACCTTGTTTGTTTGGACCAGTACATCAACATTCTGTCCCTGTTGTATCGGAGGGAAGCTCTACAGAAGTGACTTTATAAACTGTAGTGATGGTATCATCGGGGAAATACAAAAGTTGTTTCCAATCTTCAATTCAGTTTAGGTCAATTCAATTCTCTATTCACAAAATATTCATATAGATCAGGGGTCTACTAGAGCTACTTTTACACAAACAAACAGGCAGAGAGCTACTTCTTTTTACAGTCGTAATAAAAGTCGATCTAATAATTATCACCAAACTCAGAGAACATATATACAATACACCATAATACTGTATAACCCAATATTTATACTTATAATAGATATGTAATGGGTCAAAAAGTATTCGTTGAAGTGTATTTGTTAAATTCTAATTCCTTTGGCGAGCTACCTGTAAGGGGCTGGTGAGCTACAGGTGACCCCTGATATAGCTCCTTTCTATTTCATGAGGAGTTTGTGCTTTATAAAGAGGTAGCTGCATTAGTTTATAAATCCAAAACAGAACTGAATTGAGGGAACATTTTGCAAACATTATGTTTTGGGGATGTATTTTCTGCAAAGCGACCAGGACGGTGGATCCACAGCAACACAGCGTTTACTGTCAGAACTTAGCCTTTGCCTTTTTGGCTGAAATGCAGCAAAAAAGGCAAAGGATATTAAAATAATGACCAGTTTAAGCACTTAACAAGTAAGTAAGTAATGTTTATTTATATAGCGCATTTTACAGACCAAGGTCTCCCAAAGCGCTTTACAATATTCAGAGTTCAGATATTGTTCCAATCATTCCACACACGGTGATGACGGAAGTGAGTAAAAGTACAAAAGTGAGTAAAGGTAAATCCCTGATTAATTACGTCCTTTTAATTAAAAACCGGTGAATAACATTCTTTGGGCTATTTTCTCAGAATCCCATTGGTGTAAACAGGAGCAGTCAAAATGACAGTTCTGGGAGTTATAGTAACTTCATATTTCTTGGAGTCTATAGTTTTTGAAGTATATTTGAAGCAGCTTCGTAATCATGTGATGGCTCGTATCACCTTCTTTGGAAATATTTGTAATTCATCCAAATAACTTGAACAAATGTTACTCCACTAAATTGCGATCCTTTAGATGTGGTTCAAGTAGAGATCTGTAGGATTAGATTAAGTTTTCCTGAGTGTTCTCCAAACCTTGCCTATACCGTTGGGTTTGCATTGACCTGAGGCATCATCCATAAAGCTTGATTATCATTGTTTGGCTGCATAAAAAAGTTAATTACATTAGCATATTGAAAGCAGAAAAACACAATTATTCTCTTGTAGATGCGTCTTTACAAATAACCAAACAAAGATAATTTTCTCGTCTGGCTGTCGGTGGTAGATAGATGAGAAACTTTTGTTATTTCAGTCGTTTCCCTACAGCATAATTCTCTTCTCTGTGGGAATGTTTTCCTTGCATGTGTTTATAGCATTAAAATAAATATTTTAATTATTGTTGGATAATGGAATTTCTGCCCACGCTGTAAGTATTTAGTATTAGCGTTATGTAATTGTAATCTATCTTAATGTGTGAAGCCATTAGTTAAACCCTTGACATAAATCCTTCGCATGCAATCTGGACTAAATAGAAATATTTTATAGCTATTATAATTCTTCCCAGGCGTGTGTAGAAGGCTGTAATGTATCTCGTCTCACCTGTTCACGTTGACATTAAGCTCTAATTATGCACGGCACGTCTTAAGAGTGAAAAATGCACCCATTAGTTTCCATGAGTGCGAGGGAGATGAAAGTCAGATTATTTAACACCTCTTTGTGATTTCTGTATGCCTTTTAAACACAGAAGGGTCAGAATGGCTTTCGCAAATGTACGTGACAAGTGGTTTTAGTGTTTGGATTGGGAGATTATATTTTTGGATTCCTTATTAGGCAAAATGAAGGCAAAGAAAAAAGCTAAAGTCTTCATGTTCT